GGCAAAGAATTACAGTGATTTTATTTTCTCTCTGTTTGTCTATTTTTATGTATTATACAATATTTCTCCTTAAATATTTCCTATCTCATTAACTTCCATTTGAGTTTTATTTTTGTTATATAAAATGGCTTCTTGAGAACAACATGAATAATACATAGTAACACAAAAGTTTTTTAAAAGAGAAATATTCTTTTTTACTTGTATAATTTTTTATAATTTAAAGCTTCTTAGTGTATCTATAGTAATCTAATATAAATATATTAAAATAATATATTATATTAGATTAATATATAGACTTTAAATTAATTAAGGAGAGACGGATTGTTTAGGAAAATTATAAAAATTTTAGTAAAACCTGCTACTATTATATTTATATGTACAATCTATTGTGTAAGAAACAATTGAAGGATATGATATTTATAAAGAATTATAAAAAGCACAGATCGTATACAATAGCATGAATGTATCGTAGCTTTTGTTTCATTGAATCGAAGAGTTTGCTTATTTATCAATGAGATAGCATACAGCACCTCTTTTTTCACAGTATTTCCAAAGCACTTCAGAACTAGCTAATTTAATTACATTAAATAAATAATTTTATTTTATAATACAAAATCAATTATTTTTAATTCTAAAAATTTTGAATTATAATATATATAATCCTTAAAATTATTTACTCTGAAAATGAATGTTTTCTAAATATATTTATATTATTTAAAATAATCATACAGAGAAAACAGTTATATTAATATAATTACTTGTACATACAAAGTAACGATATTTATTATATTATCCAAGAACAACTTCGTTTCTTTTTTTGTAAGATATCGTGAAATTCAGTACCAAGTAGTTTTATGTACAAAACGTTAAGTGATGCATGTAAGTGACATGTTAAATAATTTTGACTAGTTTTCGAGGGGCTTCGGAAACATTTTCCCGTTGGAATCTGACCCGCAAATATGGGCAAAGTAGCAGTAGAATATATGGGTTACAGAGAGGAAGTGCCTGCAGCAGCATTACCTGCACACAAGCACGCGATAACCCGGGGCATAGTTCAGGCAGACCTTGGACCAGTAACCCATATGATGTGCGCACGCGGAAGCGACGCGAGTGTCCTTCGCGTATGCCTGATAAGCAACCTCGATCCAGGCTTTATTTCATTGACCGAGAGAAATTTGGTGTTCCGTTTTCGCGCATGTCTCCCCGCTCTAAATTCATGCATGTCCATTTTCTGAGATTCGCTGACGCATCTGATTAAAACATTTCCCTCCTCGTACCGGCATTGCTATCGGATTAGCTTTGAGATTGCGAAAATCATCAGAATGGGGATGGAGAAAGAACTGTCAACGGGAATCTCGTTGAGTAATAAGAATTATCCAAATCAAAATTTACATGAAAACAGTAAAAGGGAAAAGATCAAGAGAGAACATGAACATAACTATATATAAATGCGTAAACATTTGCGATATAATTATGTCAAAACAACGAAAAGATCGAATAAATATAATATTAAATATTTAATATTTTGATCATTTTTTTAATGACTCAAATAAAATATATCACATATAATTTTTTTATTTCTGTCATTTTACATACATTAAAGATTGATTATGCTTCAAATTGTATTTTCTATTTACAATTATTGACAGTTATATAAATATTTTATAATATTTAAGCAGATTGTGCATAGTTTTTTATGTCACCATTTAATTTTTTTATTCTTAACATCTAAAATTATAATAATGAAATTACATATATTGTATAGTATATACTGAGAAAAATTTATATAATTTTTTCTGAATAGTATCAAGTAAACATTTCTTTATAGCAAATAAATATTTACTACATGTAAACATATATTATTTGTAACAAATAATACTTATATGTTTACATTTAATAAATATTTACTTGCTATAAAAATTGTTTATTTGTAATTATTTAAGAAGAAATTACTTATAGATTTAGTACATTTTTTTAGTCTATTGATTCATGAAAGTAATTCTGTTGGAATTTATTAGGAGAACAAGCAAATATAATTAAGACTTTCATCAAATTTTGCATTCTCAAGCTTAAATCATTTCTTTATTATATATTGTAACATAAAAAAATAATTAGGATTTTTATCAAACTTTATATTCTCAAGTTTAACTCATTTCTTTATTACACATTGAAGTAATACATATAGTCAGTCTAGCGGGTTGAACAAGGAAGATATTTTAAACATTCAGCGAGATTGAGAAAGCGTTTGAGCAAGCCCGTTTCTGTGGTGCTCATCAAATCTGGCGAATTCTTGCCCGGGAGGTAAGAATTCTTAGTGAGAGTTTTAATGGAGAGTGACCAGAGTTATGCAGAAGTTTAGAGTAATTGCGAGAACCAACGAACTAACAACGCGTAATCGGATGCAAATAAGGTGCAGTCGAGGGAGTTACAATTCGAATAGAAATCCTATTTAAAGGGAGGACAAGTTGTACCGTTACATATTTATGCTATCAGCAGAATTGTACCTGAGGAATAGGCAAGAAAGTTTGGCAGTATTTCACGAGTTAATGTTTTTTTTCTTATCATTTTACTTAAGTTAGATTAAGTAAACTCGATTAAATACATATCTACTTTGGAGAGATATATATTATATACATGTATATATTTTAGCGAGATATATTATAATAACAATGAATTAATCATAGCTGTTATATACATTACACGTAATGATTCTCCAGTTCTTACACACGATGGATCGTTTGTGTCTGAATTATTTTTCGTCATTTTATAAGTATACAAAAATTAATAACAATAAGTGGTTCTTACATATATTCTATCCTTTACAAGTCGGAAACGTTATTAGTAACGTTGTTTTATGTTGTAATTTCTATGCTTGCTGTTATATAATTAAAACTTAATCTATCAAATTAATACTAAAATTAAATAACTATAATCAATGATTATATATGTATACAAGATATCTCATAAAGACCGTAATAACATTTGAGGGGAGATTTCTGAAATCATTCTGAGACGAAAATGTAGAAAATTCTAATATCTATAAATGTAAGAAAAAATTGTTTAACATAAATATCAATAATTAAAAATATCAGTAATTTATCTTTATATACATAATCTTTATACATAAACAAGAATAATCAGGCTAATGAGAGCTATTCCGCGGTTATTGGTGCGACCATATATAAGATATTAGAATGTGAATATTATATACCACGTAAGTAGTTCCCCCCCCATTGCGCGCCGAACATCCGTCGAACTTAAAACGCAAATCTATTAACTACCGTAGTAATATCATCATTACGTCGACTTGCCAATAGAGGTCTATAGTTAATCTTGTCAATTCTCGCAAGTGCTGAATTACATGATTATTTGTTTATATAGAACTTCTTTCTAACATCTCTCCCAGGCGTCTAAGGTAGGCTCCCACTACATTACCTTACTGATGAGTCCAGTAGTGGAAGCCGGGACGAAACGCCAACTCGTGATATTCTTCACAAATTCTTATTTTTCTCAGTTTTAAATTTATTTCTTTCTTTAATATTTAATTTAAGATTTTAATATGTCTTTAAACATATTATTAAGATCTTGTTAGATGCTATAAGCATCAAAAATTTGTGATATTACTACGGTAGTTAATAGATTTGCGTTTTAAGTTCGACGGATGTTCGGCGCGCAATGGGGGGGGAACTACTTACGTGGTATATAATATTCACATTCTAATATCTTATATATGGTCGCACCAATAACCGCGGAATAGCTCTCATTAGCCTGATTATTCTTGTTATTTGAAATTTTCGAGAGTCTTCTTTAATTTATTTGCTTTATACATAAATATTAACAAGAGGCGACAACTATAATTTTTGTTTTTAACACTTTGTGTTGTTCCACATCTGAATGCGCAAAAGATGGTATGATTTACTCACTTTAAATGTTTATAATTCAACGATTATTATAGCCTCGATATTTTGGTACTAGAATTTTAGTCTTAAAATGATCTTAGAAATCTATCCTTAAGCATCGTTACGGTCTTTACGGGACACTCTATATATGTACTCACAAATAAAACCTTTATCACATCATTATATTAATTATTAATATATACTAGTAGCGCTGCATATACTAGTTATTAATAAATATTAAATATTAATATAACATTTATTTATGTTTTATGTTTGTGTACGTTTTATTTAATTTATCGTTTTATTCTATAATACCTTTTCAAAACTTTATACATACTGTTTTATTATTACTTGTTGAAAAACACCTTATAATTAATTACTTTCACAAAAATTTACTCTTTAAATTCTTTGAAGTGAAATTTCATTCTAAAGGCTATCACATATAAAAAAAATTTATCATAACTGTAAGACCGAAAGCATATTGACCAATCATGGTCGAGCATTCTAAAACGTAACAACACTACATTTTTAACTGTGATTGGTCAATTTGCTTATGATTACGCTTTACGATTAGTCAATTACGAATTAAATTCTTTTTACATGTGATGGCCTTAAAGAGAGAAAATTGAGCCAGCTTGAAAAAGAGTAACTCAATTTTCAATCTTTAAGAGTAATATTTCATTTTCTAAAAAATAAAACCCACTCACGTTTTATAGATTACATCTTTAGAAAGTATTTGTATAAGGTTATTAAAAAAGGAAAAAATCATGCAGACCACTATTTAGCTAAATGCTGTTATTATTAAAAAAAAAAAAAGGAATGTGCAAGATATACGAATAACCTATCACGTGTAGTACAGGATTAAGAGACTAAAATAATTTATAATACTTAAACTCTCACGGCCCTACAAAATTTGATATTGTTAAATACGAAAATCGCCAACTTTCGGTCAAAGTTAGATGTTAAATTAATACGTTAAAACAAATAGATCTTAAAATAAATCTGTAAAGAATTCTGTAAAATAAACCGAGTGTTCACATCATACACGTATCATGTATACCTATTGATATCATTACACGGCGGATTTATAGTCCAACGACCTTACCAATATTTCATGGTATTTATAGACTTTGCGAGGACATTTATCTTTGTTATTCCTTTTTTTGGATCATCAATCAAAATTTCTTTATCCTGTTCATTCCTGAAAAAAAAAATAAAAGCAGATATATAACATTTTCATTGCAATGAGATATTGTGTTCTACTTCGTATGTTTGTATGGCATATCTTATTAGAATATTATGCACAAGAGAATAAACTCACAGATTTAAGATCACCAGTACGGTACCGCCGTCAGACGTGGAAAATGCAATATGTCGAATATTTGCGATATTCTGCGATTTTGTGCCGATTCTCCTGCTGTTAGGTGGTACATATCTATTCAAGAAAAACGCTTATAATTAATAGAAATATACCGATTAAACGCAACAGATAAATAATTTTGACATTCTCGAGAGTTCTATTTTTATTTTATTTAGTTATATAATAATATAATAATAATAATTTTATGCCACTTTAGTAATGTTATAAGTATCAATTGAGATACAAAAGTATGATATACGGACTTTGAAAAATGTCCAATTGCGTAGAACATCGGTTGCTTATAGAATTCGTTGGCTGTACTGTTGACTATTATTGGAGAGTCAACAAAATTTTTGATCCAGTTAGGTCCACCATTCATATTTAAAGCAATATTCCAGTCGATCCAAGTAGATACCCAGTGCGACATGGTTTCGATAATATTTGCTGCGTATAATTCAGCACGTTTCCAAGACCCCAGCATTACTTTTTTGTCTATAAATAATCATAGATATATTATCCATTAAAGGTTGCATGCGATGAATTATAACTCAGCCTATATTTGTGTCTTGTAAAAATTATTAAAGTAAAACGGTGTAATTTGAATAGGTTAACAGAAATGTTCAAATTGTATAAAAATTTAGATTACACTGTATTCAATTAAACATATAAAACATATTTGATTGATGCAGTAGTTTATATCTTGTATGTGTTGTTATTATGTGATCTCAATTTTTTATACAATTTGAAAATTTCTGTTAATCTATCTAATTTATCTCGCTTAGATTTTGATCTTTACAAGTTGATTATTAGAATTAAATGAAAAACACAATTATATCCTCGAAATTTATTAGTATCAAAAGAGCATAAACAATACTGTTAAACTCTTTTATAAATTTCTGACGTTCGTTTTGTATCAATGTTGAGTTGATTTTTTAAATTAAAAATAAAATTTTATATAATTAATATTAAATTATAAAATTAAATTTTTACCAACCTTCGAAAACTCCAGCGCAAGCTTCCGTGTATAGTATTGCTTTCTCTGGAAACAGTTCTTTTATTTCATCCAAAACACTTGGACTAATGAAATGATCAAAATAAAAATGGACCGCAGTTCCAGAAAAAATATTTCTTGCTTTTTTGTCTTCAAATACTGTTTTTGGCCAGTCAGGAATCGATAATCTGGTATCATCCAATGAAAAGATTTTGATATGACTGAAATTATTTTTCTTCAAGGTTGGCGCCAAGTAATTAATAACCCAGTCACGCTCTTCCTCGGCTGTCCATGCCATCGCATTAATAGTCGTATTACTAGTTAACGGAATATACTTATAATTTTCTGGCTCATTCTGAGTCGTTGTAGCCCAGAATTCTAAACCATTATGACGATAAGCCTCGAAAAATCTATAAAAGTAAAATTTATAATAATTTTGAATATCTCGAAAAGTTTTACATAACTGTAAAGTTGTTTCATATATATGAAAATAAATCATGCACTATAGTAGTAAATTATAATATTTTGATCAATTATATAAAATAAGAAGGCTATGCAATTTAGTAAAAATATTGTAATGATATTTTACTTTACGAAATAATTTGCCCATATTTGTCGATGTTCTGGAAGTAATTTAGTGTTAAGCGTCCAAGACTTCTCAGTTTTCATCCAAAGACTGGCGCTCCACGGTGCAGTCAACAACTTTATATCCCCCTTCTTCATTTCTTTAGCTCGCTTAATTATTGGTATCTATTGAGAATTAAGATTTTTATTAATAATTTAATGAAATTGATAATAATATTATTCATTTAAGGATCGATATTTTGGGATCTCAAAATAAATAAAATTTTCTCTGGGAGTCTACTCGTAAATGTTCTATTTAAGAGATAATAAATAGCATCAAAATATCTCTTAATTGCTCTGAAACAAAAAGTGTATGAGAAATGTCTGGTACTGATTTTCAATCATTAAAACGGAGCATAACGTGAAAAAAATACGTACAATCTCAGCTAGTTAGTCAATCGTTCTCTTATAAATTTAAGGCTGATGGTCATTTTGAACAAAATATTCACGTTTTGATTATTGTAAAGAATGTAAAGCATTAATAAAGATAACCTAGCTTATTTTGATGTTAATCATTCCTATGAAAGTGTAACTTAAGAAATCAATATTTCTTAAACGGTACATTTGATAGCGACTTATAGAGAAAAATTTTGTTTGTTTTAAAATCCTAAATTTATATTTTAAGTTTGACGCTTTAACGTGTGAAATCAACTTTATATGTGTGTGTGTGTGTGTGTGTGTGTGTGTGTGTGTGTGTGTGT